TTTTCATGTTTTCTCTCACCTTCTCCTGGAGCTGTGGAACGTTTTCGATGTGGAGTTTGTCAGCGGCCAGCTGCGACACTCGGGGATCCTGGAGGCGATCCACATTCGGAAGGAGGGCTACCCTGTCCGCCTGCCATTCCATAAATTCCTGGCCAGGTAGGGGCTGTCCTGCCCGGGATCCCCCAGCCCTGGGGGTTTATCCTCCGAGGGCTCCGTGGTTTTTGTCACAGCGCTGTCCTCCTCCTGCCCCAGGTACGGGCTCCTGGCCGGGAGCGGCCGCAGCGGCTCKGGGCGGAGGGACGGCTGTGCAGCGGTGCTGGCTCGAGTGCTGGGGAGCCCCTCGGAGCTCTATCAGATTGGAGTGACAAAGGTGATGCCTGCAGAGGGTCCCAGCTGTCCTAATGGCCCCAAAGCACCGAGAGGAGCTCAGCTCTGCCCTGAGAAGGAGGGCCTCGCTCACCTTCCTTTGCCACCTCCCCCTCTCACCTTCCCCTCTCCCCTTTGCTGCTCCTCTCAAACACTAAGAAGGTTTTTAGCCCTTCAGATTGACAGGAGACCCCAGCTCCAGGCTATTGCAGCATGGCCAAGCCCTTCACACACCCAGAATTCCTGGTCTTCCACCTCTGCTGCCCTGCTGACCCTCATTGCTCCCTGGTTCCTTGTCCAACACAAATTCATCCATCTCTGCCTGCACCTGCAGCTCCTGCCYTCCCCTCTTTCCTTAGCAAGAGCCCTCAGAGGCTGCAGAGAGAAACCATCAGGGGAAGGGGAAAAGCAACAATCCCTTCTAGAGGCAGAAATGGTTGTCTCCTCCATCCTGGTGGCCCTGGAGACTCTGCTCTTCCCTGGTGCTCAGCTGCTGCTGCCTCTGCCCAGGTGTTCCTGAAGGAGAAGGCCAAGGAGCTGCTGGAGCAGCGCTGGGCACAGAGGCAGAGCTGGGCTGTGCTCACCCTGCAGAGGAAATTCCGGCGCCTCCTTCAGCGCCGGCGCCTCCGCGTCCTCCAGGAGAAAGTCACGCTCATCCAGGCTCACTTCCGAGGCTACCAGGCAAGGTCAGCAGCCAGGGGACAGCCAAGGGACAGCCAGGGGACAGCCAGAGAACAGCCAGGGGACAGCCAGGTGACAGCCAGGTGACAGCCAGGGGACCGCCAGGGGACAGCCAAGGGACCGCCAGGGGACTGCCAGGGGACAGCCAGGGAACAGCCAGGGGACCGCCAGGGGACTGCCAGGGGACCACCAGGGGACAGCCAGAGAACAGCCAGGACAGCCAGGGGACCGCCAGGGGACCGCCAGGGGACAGCCAGGGGACAGCCAGGGGACCGACATTGGACCACCAGGGGATTGCCAGGGGACAGCCAAGGGACCACCAGGGGACTGCCAGGGAACAGCCAGGGGACAGCACTTTGGCCTTGCCAAGGGACAGCCATGTGGGGATGTCCCTGCCCAGGCCCCTCCTCGTGTTTGCTCCTGGCCTGCTCCCCGTGTGTTTGTGTGGCTGATGTTTCCCTGTTGACCAATTCTTTTGTTCTCTCRTCCTTCTAGGAAGCGTTACAGGAGGCTGAAGAAGACGTTGATGCAATTCAAAACCATGATTTTGATCTCCAGACCTTTGGTTCAAAGGAGGAAGCGCTGCCAGGTGATGAGGTGTACAGGAGGAGCTGAGCCCYGAGCACAGCGAGCTGGGGCTGGGTGAGGCCAGGGCAGGGATGGCTTTGGGATGGCCCAGCGAGATGTCCTTGACTCTCAGTCTGACAAAAATGCAGTCAGGTGAAGACACCAGAGAGACCAGAGCTTTCTGTCCCTCAGAGGCACTCAGAACTGCTGTAGGTATTGCAAACACGGCTGCTCCGTGGGTCTGGCTGCTCCCTCAGGCTGCCCCACAGAGCTGAAGCTGTAAGGAGTTGTTCATTTGGCTCTTTCCATTGTCCAGCTCAGTTTCTGATGGTGACTGAAATGCAGGATKTTTTCAGTCTGCAATGATCCTCCCYCGATCCCTTACAGCTGCTCAAKCCCTCYTGRAARTCAAGAGGTGCAAATCTTGGGGTGWGAACAGGATGGCAGCCTTTTGAGAAGATGGAAAACGCTGTGCAGGAGAGAGCCATGGTCCTGTCAAGTGTGTACAATATATTTTTCACAAACTGTTAGAGGAAAAYTTGAAACAGGAAATCAGACCGCTCMTCCTCAGAGTAGCAACAAACMTCCCMYRKCTGTCAGTGACACAGCAGTGACCCAGCACAGCTCCTGGCGTGGCTGTGGGCACGGTGGGACACAGGGTTGAGGACAAAAAAAATCACCCTCCTAATTATTATTACTGAATGATACACACTTGGTTATGCAGTTCATAGGTCTCATACTTGAAAATTAAAGCTTTTATTGACTTGTCTAATGTGTTTACAAATTAAYACATCAAACTCACAGAGGTGCCTCCTGTGCTGCCATGCCCAGAACACCTCGAGTTTCTGTTCCGTTTCTTACCCTTCCCTCTTGGACGGGGTCCAGCTGTTCCCTCTCCCAGGTAACCACAACAGTGCAGCCTTTTTGGCTCCGTTTCCGTTCCTTCTCTGTTTGTTTGCTGAGGTCTCTGTTCATGCAGCGGCAGCAGCAAAGGTCTCAAAGTTCAGCACCACACAGTTCCTCCTTCCCCCCGCCCCGCAGCCCTGCCCTTCGGACTTTMGCTTGTCACTGTCCTCCTCAGCCCAGCCCTCATCACTCCCACACAGTCACACTGACAGGCAGAGGGACACAGGCACAGAGCCCTCCTTTCCCACCTCGGAGCGGGACTCAGGTGAGTGATGGGGCTGGGGAACCACAGAATGGATGGGAAAGGGCAGGGCTGCCAGGGAGTTTAGCTTTTGGTAAACTGCCTCCCGCCTGTCTGAAGGGTTTGATGCATCCCTGCCACCTTTCTGATGGGTTTGGTGTATCCATCCTGCCTGTCTGAAGGGTTTGGTGCATCCCTGCCACCTTTCTGATGGGTTTGGGGTATCCCTCTGTATTCCTCCAGCCTGTCTGAAGGGTTTGGGGTATCCTTCCCACCTTTGTGAAGGGTTTGGTGCATCCCTCCCACCGTTCTGAAGGGTTTGGTGTATCCCTCCTGCCTGTCTGAAAGGTTTGGTGCATCCATTCAGCCTTTCTGATGGGTTTGGGGTATCCTTCCCACCTTTCTGAATGGTTTGGTGCATCCTTCCTGCCTTTCTGAAGGGTTTGGTGCATCTCTCCCACCTTTCTGATGGGTTTGGTGTATGCCTCCTGCCTGTCAGAAGGGTTAGGTGTATCCCCCCCTATCCCTCCCACCTTTCTTGAAGGGTTTGGGGTATTCCTCCACATCTCTCCAGCCATTCTGAAGGGTTTGGTGCGTCCCTCCCTTGTTTTTGATGGGTTTGGGGTATCCCTTCTGCCTTTCTGAAGGGTTTGGTGCATCCCTCTCACCTTCCTGAAGGGTTTGGTCTCCGTGGCCATGTCCATCTGTCTATGTTCAGGCTGTTACCGTGTGTTCTGGTGCTGGAGGAGGCAGGTGGATGTTTCTGGCAGCTGCTGAGTGCTTTTGTGCTGATCCACACCAAGTGCTCAGCGAGGGAGGGTGTGGAAGGATGCTGGGCAGGGCTTCAGGCTCTGGCTGCTGTGTCGTGCAGGGCAGGAGGTGTTTGAGCCAAGCTCAGGGCTTTGCCCCTTCTCAGAACGCTCTGTGGGGTCCCAAAAAGGCTCTGTAGCTGTTCTGTCATTTTATCTGCTGGAGCAGGGCCCCAGCCCCTGCCCCTCCATGGCATCTGCCCCCAGAAGAGCTGGAAGAGGCTCCACACTCCATCCCTTTCCACTTCCCACCCTCCATCCCCTTTTCATCTCCTAACAGCAGGAGTTAGAGGAAAGGAAACAAAGGAGGAGATCCCAGCACAGAGAACAGTCCCAGCCACGGAATGGTGAGTTGTCAAACATTCTGGGAGGGTCTGAGATCAAAACAAGCCAAGCTCTCCAGGTGTTCTCCCTCCCTGGTGCCTCCTCAGCTCAGATTTGCTGGGGAGCAGCAGAACATCTGGAGGGGGTACCCAGTGTGTGGAACCCAGTGCAGAACACAGATCTGCTGGGTATAAAAAGGGCCTTCTGACTCAGAAATATCTCAATTTTCAGTGTTTCCCAAACTCTGGGCACAGCCAGGCACCGTAAAACTGTCGTGGGCAGAGCACTGTGTTTGTTCACAGCACTGGACCCCGTTTCAGAGCTGGAGGGAAGATTATTTCTGATGATCACATTCTACTGAAGGGTGGGAATGAGGCAGTTCTGCATAAATATATTTATGGAAGATGTAGTAGAGGAAGGGATGTCTGACAGGCTCCATAACACATTCAGCCTGCACCAACACTCCTAATTAATGCCATTATTTGTGTGCCTAGACTGGGCACACATTTGCTCTGGTGCCTGTACCAAGGGACTCTTTGACTTAATTGACAATTGACATAATTAATTACCAATTGACATAATTCACAATTTTGTACAGATTTGTCAGTAACAACAGGAATAATTAGCACTGGGTGCTCTTGTATCACCTGCTCCTCAGGTCTGGATCCAGAATTGTAGAATTTCACGGTCCACTCCCTGAATGCACCACTGAAAAGCCAGGCTTGAAGTCAAGTATCTTCTCAAGAGCAAAATCAAACTGATCAAAAATGCTGTGAATGTGTCTTTAAGTTTTATATGGAGGGAGATGTCAGAATAATGTGCTGGTGACAAGAGGCTTTACTATGCAGATCTTAAAAAAAAAAAATTCAAAAATCCCAAAAGCTCAGGCTTTGTGTCTTTGGCTTGGTTTTAGAKGGCCTTAACCTGAGTAGTTCTGTCTGGAAAGACCTGAGCTGACACACCATGCAGTGATTCTGATAAACTTAGTGGCATTGGCCCATTTGCTTCCTACCCTGCAGCAGTGCAAGGTGCAAACCAGTGAGAAATCAAACCTCATTAGCCAGATTCTCATCTGGATTACCCAGGCAGAGATCGGAGCTTCCTGAGGAACCTCCAGCATACACCGAAGATCAGAGTCAGGTCTCTTTTTATGCTGTAGCACTTTTGGATACTGAAAAATTAACAAGATAAATGTCAGGAGAAGGTGCAGGAGGAAAGAGCCTTTACCCTCCAGCTGCAATCTCTACTGTTCAATGTGCCAGACTTGTTAGGAACGAGGGATGAGTCAAACAAATCTGACTTCCCTGTCATTCCCTCCATGGCAGTGGAGAATTTTTTTTTTATTTAGAAAGGATTTTTTTTTTTTTATTTAGGAATTTCCTAAACCAATCACCTTCCCCTCCTTTGCTGCCCCGTGTCACGCAGCTGTGCTCGTGTGATACCTCCCCGTTTGCAATGTTCTGAACCTGCTGGGGTGGCAGAATTCTCTGCTTTGGCTCAGGTGCTCCATCCCTGTCCTGGCAGCTTTTCCAAGGCAGTTTCACCCAGCCTCAGCCCGCGTTTTGCTGTGGTTCCAATGCTGATTTATTTCTCTCTGCAGGACGTGGGGCTGCTGGAGATCCCCGCGGAGCTCGCAGCCCTCCTGCGCTTTGTGGAAGGTGAGAAATGCCCCTCTTGGCCTCCTTTTCCTCTTCACGGTGTTTCCTTGTTTGTATCAATGCAGGTGTTTGTTCTCCCTGCTGCCTGTCACTGCTGTGGATTTGATTTATTGTCATTGCAGTGTAAACATGATAAAGGCAAACAGGACAATGCGTGWTGTTTCCCCACATGGCATGGAGGAAAAACAACTGGGCCAGGGGGCAGAGCAGCAGGTTTAAAATCAGTATTTTTGTTCATTTTTCAGCTCTTTTTTTTCTGAGCTGGTTGGTGCAAAACTCTTTAGTCAAAGTGATGTGATAGCAAACTCCTAATGAGCCCAGRTCTCTGGCAGGGATGAGTATCTGGGTTTGAAGAACTTAAATCCATCTTTTAACCATTCAAAAAAAATCTTTAAGGAAGTTGGAGGTGAAGAAAATTGCAGTTTTGGCAATTTCAAATAAATGTTTGTAGATTTCATTAAAAATTACTTCCTCAATRGGAATTTGAAAATAGAAGGAAGGAGAAACAGAGTAACAATTTGATGGTGGAACAGTGTAGTAACTCAAGTTGCAACAATTTATCATCCCAAAGATATAACAATATAATAACTTCATAATGTAACCATATAACAAGGTGAATATTTGTAAGTTTATCAACTTAGGGACGCAACAACTGTTTTCAAATCTCCAGAATAGCACTAACTGCAGGAATTTCACCAGCTGCTGACCTGTCCTTGAGCATTCWGATATTTGCAGTTGTGTTTCCTCTGTGCAATGTGAATATTTAGGGCTGAGGCAGGATTTTCCTCTCAGTGGTGTCAAACCCAAAGCCAGCTGTGCCCGTGGCCTTCCCTGGGGACAGGGAGGGGACAATGAGGCACAAGGGTGCTGTGAACTGGAGCAGCCTGTGCTGGGTTCCCAAACTCCTCACATCTCATGGCACAGGGGCTTTCAGCTGCTCAAACAAGAGCCAGAGGAGCTCAGGGAGCAGTGAAACYGCTGGAAATGAAAGAGGATGGGATGGAAACAGGATGGGAGAGCAGCGGGGGACACGTTGGGAGAGAGAGGAATGCACAAAAGCTGTGCTGCATTGAGAAATCCCTTCACTGGGGGATGTTTGCTCCTCTCTCAGGGTGATAAACCCCTAATTGCAGACACCCCTCATTTCCTTGTTGGCTGAACAGTTGCCAGCAGGATTTCTGCACGGGCTCAGCATTTCCTGCTGTGTAAACGCTGCAGAACAGACCAGAATCTCCCTGGGGACAAGAGTCTGAAGGATCAGAGCTGTCAAATCCCCCTCCTGAAGGGAGCCCTTGTGGTTTCAGGGTGGTGATGCTGTGCTTGCCAGGGGCTCAGGGGCAGCAGGGCTGGGCTGGGTGTCCYTGGGGCTGCTTCAGGAGCTGCAGGRTGAGCTGTGAGTGCTGTACCCCAACCCTCCTTCCCTGCAGGTCGGTACCGAGCCCAGGCCAGCCAGATAACRGAGACACAGCCCCCAGAAGTCAAGGTCAAGGATGACCTTTCCCTCCCGCCCAACATCAACAGCCACCCCTTCTCCTCCTTYGTCAAATCGCACTTCCAGGTGGGAAATGTTTTAATTTCTCTTCGTGCTTCCCCTGGGCACACACGCAGGTTCTGGCAGCACCAGGAGCAAACATTTCTGTCCTCCTGTTCCTTTGCAGAAGCCAGATTTCCCTGCCCCTGGTCAGCCTCTGCAGCAGCCCTTGACCCAYYTGGGTGCTGAGCACCAGGAGAGCGSCCTTGAGATCAACAAATTGGTAAGAGATGTCRTTCTTGGCCTTGCTGGAGAATGTTTTGATGGTTTTATATGAGATGCTGGTGGTGGATACTGTTTTTACAATACCTGGAAGGCTGGAAAAGCAGAATAAATTGCTCCTTCCAGGCCCTGAATAGTCTGAGATCACACACAACCCCTGAGGATTGCTGTGTTCTTGGAGAGGCACACACCAGCCACAGATCATTCACTGGGCTCAGAGTGAATTGCCTGGTGAATTCAGAATTTGGCAGGACATAAAGGAATCAGACTGCTTTAAAATCAGATCCCAATATTCCAGACTCACTAGCAATGATAAGGACAGTCTGTCCCCTCAACCCCTTACTCATCCATCAGTCATAACAAAGTTTTGTTTAACCCAGATCTTTTCTGTGATGCGGTTTATTGCAAATATCTTGATTGCATCTCGGGCTCACAGATGTGTCAGTGCCCAACAGGGGACAGTGAACTGTTGCACAAAGGCTGGAAAAGGGCAGGGACTTTGTCATCAGGAAAACTGCACCTGGAACCACACCCTCACCTGCAGTGTTTGCGTGGAGGGGACGGTGTCATTCTGACTCTGCRGATGTACAATTTCTTTATATTTCTTCTATATTCTTCTCCATATTTATATTTTCTTTATATTTTTTCTTTAAAGTGGTYATATGGTGTTTGAAAATAGAATGAATCTCCAGGTACTTTCTAAGTAAATCTGGTAATCTTTTTTGGGAATTACGTAGAATTAAAATAAGCCCATTAAGGAAGTTAATACCTAAAAGCAGTCTCTTGTTTTGTCCTCGTGATCCCAATTATAGAAGAGCATAAGCTTCAATAAAAYCTTGTGAATAGGATTGTGTTTAAGCAGAATACTATTATTTTTCTAAAGATCAAAGGCAGTTTTTCTCCGTTGCTAATGAAGCAGGGATTTGCTACAAAGAATTCCATGAGAACTAAACAGCCACCATTCCCTGTTTATCTCAGTGAATCTCTGACATGCTCAGTACCATGAACTGTTTTTAGAAGTGTTGTTACCCTTAAATGTTCTTTCCAAAGCTGTTCATTAAAAAAAAAAAAAGAATTAATGATGTATTGAAGTGTAGAGGATGAAAGAAATCATTCTGAACCTACGGGTGAGAAATACAAACTAAAAAGGCTCTGAACCTAAGGGTGAGAAATACAAATGAAAAAGACATTGTAGATATTGATGTGCATAGCCAAGAAGCTGAGTAATTTCTTCAGGGAGTGTGCTGAGACACCACATCCCACACTGGTGTAATATTGGTGTCTATTTACACAAATATTGGTGTAATATTAACTGCACCAAAGGCTTTTGCACACTCAGTGGGCTCAGCAGCAAATATCCTCTGGTGATTTACTCCTGTCTGAGCCCTGCCCGAGGGGAAATATTTTGCCCAAGAGCAAATTCTGAGTCATAACTGAGGAGAGACTGAAGTCACCCTGACTTTTAGTCAGGATCCAATCTCTGTTAACGTTGACTCCCAAATTCCCCTGCAATTTGGTGGTGCACAAAACCCCGAGGACAGACCCCAGTGTGAGTGTTGGCCACTCAGGCTCCCTCAGGTGTCTACAGCCTCCAACACCACAGTTTGGGACAGAAGCTTACAGCTCCAATTCTCTCTTTTTCCCTTGGGATCTTTCCAGATTTTGCGATTTATCGGTGACAGGAGCCTCCGTGGCTGGCAGGAGGTGCTCCTGGGCAACTACATCGCTGGCAGAGGTTTGAGTGATGCTGCTCTGCGTGATGAGATCCTCAGCCARGTGGTGACCCAGACCTGGAGGAATGCGGACATGGAGCGCAGCCGGCGGGGCTGGGTCCTCATGGCCACTCTGCTCAGCTGCTTCAGCCCTTCACCAGCGCTGGAGAAACCTCTGCTGAAGTAAGAGCAGGAAAAAAAACCCCAGCCAGGTTTGTGCTGAGGGATGAGCAGGTGCTGAAGGTGGCTGTCCTCCCCAGGTTTGTGTCGGACCATGGCACCGAGGGTTACAGCGCCKTGTGCCAGCGCAAGATGCTGACGGCGGCGCAGCGCCCGGGCACCGAGCCTGCACCCTGCAGGGCTTACCCTCCCACCCAGCTGGAGTGGACAGCCAACCAGAGGAGAGGCAAGATGGTGCTGGACGTGCACGCCTTCAATGGTAACTCAATTTTCCACCCTCACACTGTCTTTTGGTCTCTAAGGAATTTTTCCAGGCAGAAATCAGCATTTGGGGGAAAATTCTCTCTGCTTAATAGAGTGATCAGAACACTGTTTGCTGGTGCAGCCATGGGGGATATAAGGATCTGAATTTAGACCCAAAAATTGTAAAGTCTGGGCCTGGTGGGACCTGCTGCTCAGGCTGAGGGGTGAGATCCCCCTGAGTTTGGGGTGTTCTTGACAGAGGGTTKTTCTGGCTGTACATCTCTGTGGGGTTCGTTCTCCTGTTACCCATTACAGCATAGCCCATGCTGCAGTGATTTGTTACAGGGRTTWTCTGCCCTTCTCCCTTCCCAAATATTGCCTCAAGCTGCCTCTTGAGCAAGCTGCAGCTCTGTGAATGGAGCACAGAACATCCCTGCTCTTGTGTGACAGTCCAAGCACACCAGGGTTCTCACCTGTCCTGTTGGAAACACCAGCCTGTGCCATCAAATATCCCAGATATTTGGGATGTGAATGTGTCCACGTGGAGCCCTCCCTGAGCTTTCAGTCCTCCCATGACCCTGCTCAGGGGGGGTGGGATTTTCCAGCTGGGCTCTGGCTGTGTCCCATGGGATGTTGGGGTTGCTTTGGGAGGCTGTGGGTACTGACCTTGCTCTCTGTGCTAGAGGAGAAATTCTCAGCTGAGGTGGAGTCCTGGATGACTGGAGAGCAGTATGCAGCCTGGATCCTGAGTGCAAGGTATGCCAGAGGGTGGGAGAAGGTCTGGGGGTGTGAGAGGGGCTGTCACCAGCCCTAAGGGTCAGACTGATCGGGCTGGAATTTACATGGTCACACATGGAATAGTCACTCCTTATGCATTCCAGTGTGCTCCTTTTTTCAACCTTTCATCCCCATCCCTGTGCAAAAYCAGTGGGCTTCTTTAGGAACAGAGGAATTATGGTGTGGTCAGTGAGAGCAGCTTCAGAGAAAACATGAAAAAAAAAGGAACAAATCTAGAGTCATTCTAATTTCTTCCCTGAGCTTGGGTATTTAATGGTTGATTCACACCCTAAATCTAAAGGGCTTAAGCCAGGATGGACAGGGCATGAAGAAACTGGATGTGATGTTTTCTTTCCTCACCCTTTCCCCTGCCTGCCTGGATGYCTTTCCTGCACCAGGGGCTGTGACAGGAGGACTCGAGGCTGGTCAGTCTCCATGTTCACCGGCAGCACATGGCAGGATCTGCTGGGCTGTGACTTTGTGCTGGACCTCATCGGAGAGATGGAGGAGACCAGCAACTTCAGCAGCTCCTCCCAGCCCCGCACCGAGTACCCCATCGCTCCAGAACGGGACAGGAGCACCCTCCAGACCTCTGACCTGGACATGTAAGCCACGTCCTGCCCCAGCACTGCTGGCCCTGTCACCCAGCCCCTCCTCTTTCAGCTCTCTGGTCCCCATCTCCTTTCCCCCAGGATCCCTCCTGCTCCAGGCATCCAGGCGCCCGCCTTCCCCCCGCCCAGCCTGCCCCCAGAGCTCRTCGGTCCCCACCCAGGTGAGCTCCAGCCCAGGGTGACCCTGGAAGGGCCAGATGGGCCCAGGAAGGGGGTCAGAGCTGAGGGGGAGTTGGGGGATTCTCCTTGGGGCAGAGGTCTGCTCTGAACCGTGACTGACCGGGAAGGTTTCTCGCCTGCCTTGTCACCAGCTCTCTCTCTGCTGGCAGATTCCAGGTTCAGGGATGAYCTGAGGACCCCTGTAGGATTGGATCACTACGTGGATGATCTCTTCAGCCCTGTCCTGCATCAGGGCTCCCGAGGATCTGTAAGTTCCCTGATGTTCCCTCCCCTCTTCTCTCTGCAGCTCCCCTTTCCCTGTGAGCCCTTCAAGCTTTTCCCGGCCCGTTCACTGCCCCTGCCCAGCTCAGATGTGCCTTTGGATGTCTCTCCCTCTGGGAATTCTGTCTCTCTGAGCTCAGATAACTGTTTTGGGTTTTTTTTTTTCTTTTTTTTTTTTTTTTTTTTTTTTAATGCAGGATATGGATAACACGGAGATTCTCAGCAGACGCATGAAAGGAGGTGGGAAGATTGGACCCACACAGAGAGGAATCTTTCCTTCCACAGGTCTGTCAGGGCTTGGGGACAGCTGGGAACATCTGGGACTCTGGGAGATTCAGGGAGAACGGGTCAGGGAGCCCCTGAAATGCTGATTATTGCATGGGCTCAGCTGGCTCATGGTGAGCACAGGGCTTTAGCATGGGCTGCACTCCTGAGAGATGCTTTGGGGAAGGTGTTGGGAAAGGGAACCACTTTGCTGTGTTTCTAATTTCTCTTTTGAGCTGGTCTGGGGCCCATACAAACCCTTGTAATTCATGTGTCCACCTCCTGCTCACCTCGTGCTTTCACAGAGCTGMTGCTGCCTTTATCAGGGTGGTTTTAACCTTTCTTATTCCTTCCTTCCAGAGCTTCCCAGCATCTGTAGCTATTCCTTGGGTTAGTAAGTGTGAACCCTGAAGGGGTTCTGGTTTGTGTGTTTGTTTTTTTTGACTTTTCCTCGTTTCTGTGGAGTTCAGACCCYGGCATTTGCAGCAGGGTGGAGTCARACACCGGTGCATTCATGGCACTGACAAATCTGCATGGTGGGGACACACCCAGCAGTGTCAGAAAGGTGGGGAATGTGCAGTCCAGTCATTCCTGAGACTGGGAATGCTTCTGGCCATTGGAGAGGCTCTGGGACATGACAAGCCCTGTYACAGATCACTGTCTGAAGCCAGTTTGTCACTTCAGTGGCTCCTCAGCTGATGAGGGATGTGGTGGCATTGCAGGGCTGCTCTCCCTGGTGAGGACACTGTGATTCAGCAGATTGGTGCTGGATCCTCTGAGAGCCTGATCCCCACACCCCTCACTCTGCTGGCTTTGCACTCACTGGGGTTTGTTTGTGACCCCATATGGGACTGAACTGCTGAAAAAAGAGGAATTCCTTCCTGCCCACAGCTCCTTCACAGGGCACACAATGCCATGCAGGCCGGGACTCGTTCATCCCTGCTGCAAAGAGACCAAATGGATGTGACAGCCCCAGCTCCAGAGATCTTTGCCCATCCCTCAAGAGAAACCCTCCCCCTGTAATTCCTGTAATCAATCAGACACAGGCAGGAATTATTGATAAGCCCAATCACGAAGGATGGTGCCGTGCCAAGCCAGGCTAGAGAAACAGAGCCTGCATACTGTTGTTAACAGCACATTTTTCTCAGCTTTCCTTTTTCCCCTGAGTTTTGCCGTGTCCTGCTGTGGCTGCTGCATGTGGAGAGCCCCAGCAGAGCTCTGTGGGGCTGCTCAGGGTGTTCTCACCTGGGATTCCCCAAAAACACCCTGAGCTTGCTCTTCTGCCTCCAGGCTTCCCTGGAATGACCCAGGCACCGGTTTACCAGCCCATGGTGGGGATGCCAGCAGCCATGCCCATGATGCCCGGGGCTGGCGGGGTTGCACCTATGCCAGGTGGGAGTGGTTTCAGTCACTGAGAGGGGATGGGATGGGATTTATGGGATTTATGGGATGGGATGGGATGGGATGGGATGGGATGGGATGGGATGGGATGGGATGGGATGGGATGGGGTGTCAGGCATTCCAGTGTCAGGTGAGGGGCTCGCTGAACGCTCCAGGCTGACGCTCAGGCTCTGTGGGAAGGATCACCTGCAGCACTGTGCTGATGTGTGTGTGTGTCTCCCCCAGCCATGGTGATGCCCCAGCCCATGATGCCCACTGTGGATCCCAGCCAGCTGGCAGCTCAGCAGCAAGCCTTCATCAACCAGCAAGCCATGCTCATGGTGAGTGCCAGGGCCCGGSAGCTGGGGAGGAACAGCCACAGTGAACCCCACAAACTGTGGGGTTTGTGCTGTGCTGGGGGAGCCCAGCTCCCCTCCTGCTCCGTGTCTCTGTCCCCATGTGCTGGGTGAACCCTACAAGGTGGGATTGTTTCAGTCTGCAGCAYTGGGACACTCTGAGCCCCTCTGTGTCCATGGGACACAGTGGCACTGTCAGTGATGAGCAGCAGGGACAGCAGCAGGTCCTGAGAAGGTTCAGCTGCAGTTCCCAGGGGGTTTGAAGCTGGGGTTTGCTGGAGGTGCAGATCTGCACTGTTCTGCCCTCTGTACAAAGCCCTGTGAGTGCAYRGCAGCCCCAGGMTGGCAGCAGAGCCTTTGGGGTGGTTTTGGGGGTTYTGCAYCCTTGGCCAGGTGGGAGAAGATTCCCTGGGCACACCTTATCCACACGAGGGAATTTGTGGATGTTTTGTGATTGCCAGTGAAAGAACAGTGACTGATGGCTGGGTTTGTGTGCCCTGAGCTCATGGACACTGCAATTCCCTCCCCCAGGCCCAGCAGATGACCCTTCAAGCCATGAGCCTTTCCCAGCAGCAGCAGCAGGAGCAGCAGAAGCGACAAAAATCTCTCGAGAGCTCGAGGCCAAGAGCCTCAAGCCCAGCACGAGTCTCAGCCCCAGCCACGCTCCCAAAACCCAAGAAGCCTCCCAGCAGCCAGGCAACACCACCAAGATCTCCAGAGCCACCAGCCAGGGCAAAAGAGCCGGTATGAGGAGCAAACATTTGCGGGGAATTTGGTTTGAATTTCGTGTTTGGTGTTTGCTCTGCTCCCCTCCCTGCCTGGCCGTGGTTTGGCAGAGAGCAGAGCAGAGATTTGTGCTCAGCTGATGATACTGAGACCTTCCAAAATCTGCTGGCTGAGTCTTTAAAGGGTCAAACCTGGGGTGGCATTTGCTCTGTGGAGGTTTGGCTGCTGGGTTGGCCAATCCATTTCCAGCTGAGCTGGATTTTTTCCACAGGGAAATTAATTTCTCTGAGTTCTTTATCTTCCAGCAAGCTGTGTTGGGTCTCTAACACAATCCTCCTTCTCTGGGCTTGGCTGAGGGTTCCCTGTATTAGAAATTAATCTGTTGGAGCATCTCTCCTGGATGGGGAGAGCCTCTAGAGCAGAACTTTTCGAGACAAAGCCACCCCTGAGYTGAAGGTGGTGCTGAGTGAGTTGTGCCCTGCCTGCAGGATTATGGCCCCAYGGAGGAGGAGCCCTCCAGCAGTGAGGAGGAGGAGGATTATCCTCGGGAAACTTTCCAGCAGAAGAGAGAGTTCTTCCAAAAGATGGGTGAGCATCTGCCACTYTGGGAATTCCACTCATCCTAACCTCGCTCTGCAGGCTCCCTGGCATGCCCAGGTGTTCCTTTCTCCCTGCCTGGAACCAGYTGAACCCTTCAAGAGCTGCTGGGCTGTGTTTTTTGGGTTCTGGTTCACCTGGCTGCAATTCAGATTGTGAGGTGTTGTGGGGCCAGTTCTGGAAATCTCCAGGCCTGTGACTGCCACATTCTCCCTCACCTCTAAAAAAAGCAAATTTTTGCTGACTGAGGCACGGGGGGGAGCTGTGCCACCAGTGCCAGATTTTGGGTGTGGGTTTGGCTTGTTCAAGTCCCCCTTTCCATGCAGGAGAGCAACACATCCGAGTGAAGAAAGTCAGACCCAGCAAAACCTGGACTCCTCCAGCAAAACCCCAGCCAAGGGAGGAGGAGGAGGAGCAGGAGAGGAGGAGAAAAGAGGAGCAGGAAAGGAGAAAAAAGGAGGAAGAGGAGAGGAGGAGAAAAGAGGAGCAGGAGAAGAGGAAAGAAGTGAAGCCTGTCCCTAAACCAGAGCCAGGTAAGATGCTGTGCATGGGAGACCCAGGTAGGCTGACAAGAAGGAACTTTCCASACACATCAGGCCAGGATTTAGGCAGAGGAGGAAAGGATCTGGCTCTCATGGGAGTCTGCATCTTCACAGCAGAGGGGAGAGAGCAATGTGTGAGCTGTGGGCAGTGGGATCCCAAAGGAAGGCCACAGCCAGTCAGCCTCAGGGTGAAAGAGGGAATTTCACATGAGATAAAGGGATTTCTCCTGTGCCTTTGCTGGTCTGTTGGCTAAAATTGTGACCCCAACAGCTCCTGCCACCCCTGTGCCACCTCCTCAGCCAAAGCCAAAGAAGGAGACGCCAAGAGCCAAGAAGGAGCCGCCCGTGGTGAAGCCTTCGGGTCCCGAGTCCCGCCCTGCCCCGAGCCACGAGATCGGCAACATCATCAAAATGTACCAGAGCAGACCACCCCCCGAGCCCCAGCCCTTCGAGCCCCTCAGGTGAGAGTTGGGACCCCTGTGGGCACGGGGAGGGGGTCTCAGTCTCAGCTCCATCGTGCCCAAACCCCGTAACGCTGTCCCCTGTTCCCTTGCAGGAGGGCTCCCAAGCCGTTTATAAAGAGGAACGACCCCAAAAATGAAGCTCTGGCCAAGCTGGGAATGATGAGCTCCTCACCTCAGCCACCAGTGAGTCCTCTGCCCTGTGCTGACCCCAAGAGCTGAGTAGGGAGAGCCTGTGCAGCTCCTCCCAGGGAGCTGATTTCTGCTTAGCTTGTGAGGTTCTGGCAGCTCTCACCATGGCCTTGCCCAGCCTAGACTGAGTTCCAGTCTGTAAAATCACCTGAGATCCTAAAAAAAAGGCTCTGGAGCACAGAGTCCCATTGTAGGATGTTTGAGGCTGATCTGGAGCAAGCAACTCATGTTCTCCACATTTGACACCGAAGCCCTGCCCTGTTCACATCCATTCTTTCCCTTCCAAACCAGAGGCTTTGATGTCAAATGCTCCTCTGGGTTGGGCTGATCTCCACCCTTTTGTAGGTTTTGTGTTGGTTTAAGGGCCGTGGTGTCCCTGTTCACACTGACCTCGGCTGCAGGGCTGGGCTGCTGGCCTGGGCTGGCTCAGAGCCCGGGGGGCAGAGCTCACAGGGGCAGAGCAGAACTGCCTCGAGTGGTTTTTCTGTCCTGCAGCCATCTCCYGTGCCTCAAGAGAAGAAAACCCCTCCGCCGGTCAAGCCCAAGCCGAGCTCAGCCTCCAGCTCCATCAAGGAGAAGCAGCTGCCTCTGCTGTCCATCTTCAGAGCAGAGAGTGCCCCTCCAGCTCCCCAGAGCCCTCCTGCTCCCCCCGTGCCCCCACCGGTGCCCGAGGAGCTGGGCAGGCAGGAACCCACGGGGAACGGTGAGTGGGGCAGGGAGGGGCTGGAATCAGGACAGGGACAGGGACAGAGCTGTCACCAGCCTGAGGGACAGAGCTGTCACCAGCCGGAGGGACAGAGCTGTCCCCAGCCCAAGGGACAGAGCTGTCACCAGCCCGAGGGACAGAGCTGTCACCAGCCCGAGGGACAGAGCCTGAGGGAGCTGTGACAGGGCAGAGGAGGCACAGGCAGGGCACAAATCCTGTCACCAGCCCGAGGGACAGATCCTGTCACCAGCCCGAGGGACAGAGCTGTCCCCAGCCCAAGGGACAGAGCTGTCACCAGCCCGAGGGACAGAGCTGTCACCAGCCCAAGGGACAGCTCCTGTCACCAGCCCGAGGGACAGAGCTGTCCCAGCCCGAGGGACAGATCCTGTCCCCAGCCCAAGGGACAGAGCTGTCCCCAGCCCGAGGGACAGATCCTGAGGGAGCTGTGACACTCCCTGGGACAGATCCTGGGGGGTGTGGCACTCAGAGCTGTGGGTGATCACACRGAGGTGTCACAGGTCCAGCAGCCACCACGGCACTCCCAATCTCTGATTGTTCCCTTCTGAAAAATGCAGCTAAAAATAGCAATGTTCTTCGGGCTGCAGCCTTATCAATGTCCACCCCACGACGCTTTTATTGTTTACCTGAAGCGTAATTACCRAAGTGGTAATTAGTGTGTGGACTTTAGACTGGGGAGGAATGGGAAGCCTGATCTTTCACCTGACARAGCTCTGGAGGGATCTTAGGGACGGGCTGAAATATAAAATCAGGCTGGCAGGAATTAGGGGATGCTTCTCAGAGGGAGACTGAGCTTGAGAGACCTTAAACACTCAAAGAATGTTTGGATGCTGCCCACTTTAAAAAGCAGAGTTAATGCTTCTATAGTTTGGAAGTGTTGTTCAGTCCCAGTTTTGCCTCTGATTTCAATGGGAGCCTGGATAATTCGTTTCATTCTTGGGATAGCAAAGTGTTTAAAGCTGTCTAAAATTCCCATCACATTTTGTAGTGGGTAAAGGAGCAGTCAGTCAAACACATCATGAAGGGCTCCATCCTGCAGCAGCTTCCCTGCAAAAGAGAATTTCCCCATTTGCTTCTCCTCTCTTAAAAAATGGTTCTTTAGGAGATCCCGTGAAAGTAAATAAAAGTAACTGGATTAGCCTGAAAAATCCCTTAATGGAACAGGGTTATAGAAACAGCTCGAGTATGGGAATTACTACATTTCTTGTCTAGGAACTCTGAAGTTTTCAGAGTTTGAGGTGCTGAAGTGAAGACATTTTTGAACAGTTGCCTTCAGACCCAGCCTGTCTTTAACAGATCTAAAGAAAGACAACCCAGTGCTGGTTTTGGGTGCCCTTAGCCAGGACCTTGCAGCCTCCAGGCTCAGGGGAGAACTTTTCTGTCCCTTCAAAACCTTCAGCAGCCTTTTCACAATGACACAAAGTGAAAGCTGTGCCTCCAACCTCCRGCCCAGGGGGAGGATTGTCCACGGGAGGCTGAGTGCTGCCAGTGCCTGCTATGAGCACTGAACTCTGTGGCTGATACAGGAATTGTAAATGCCACCAGAAATCCTGGGAATGTCTGGTTTGTGCTCACACCAGCTGGTCACTGACCTTCAGGAGAGTCTCTGACAGGAATATCCCATCAGGGACTGTCCTGTTTCTGCTGGCAGCTCCTTGTGGGTGGACAGGACCTCGTGGCCCTCACAGCCCACCCTCAGTGCCCTCTCTCCCCACAGACTCTGCTGTGACAGTGGCAGGTGATGATGGCATCAAGACCCAGCTGTACAAGCTCACCACCAGCGTCAGCTTCTCCTACGTCGACCCTGCCTGGAAAATCTTCCTGCGCAAAGAGGTGCAGCTCCTCAGCTTCTTGTTTTCAGTTTGTGAAATGAGAAACTGGCCCCCAAGCCTTCCAGGCAGGGCTAGGGGAGAGGAGAAATGTCTGTCAGTGCAGCAGGAAAGCATTTTTGTGTGTTTGTTTATTCGAATGGCCCTGAGGGTTGGCTGGGGAGGGGGAAGCTCATCCCATCTTGGGTTAAAAGGGTTTTTTTGGTCACAGGCACCCAATGTAAGAAAGAGCACAAGTGAGGGGACACAGACACAGGAGCTGGAGGAGGGGATCCTGTCATGGTCTGAGTCCTGCTCTGCGTTGCTGGCACTTGTGCCTCAGTGTCCCTACCTGTCCTTTCCTTCCCCTGGAGAGCTCTGAGAAATCTCACACTGAATTTACTGTTTCCYGGTGCTTTCCTGTTAAAACAGCACAAATGTGTTTAAAATCAAATATTTGAGAGTGTGCTGAACCCACCAGGGTTCATCCCTTGGTCTCACCACTCAGGTTTTGGCCCTTGCCTCCTGTCCTGCTCATAKTCASAGTGTCTCCTCGCTGCCTGTCCTTSGGGATRAATTCACCCCTGTCTGGCAGCAGGGATTGAAAACCATCCCTGGGGAGGGAACTTCTGCTGCAGTAACACCACTGTCACCCTCCTTTTGCAGGTGTTTTACCCCAAAGAAAATTTCAGCCAGCCCTACTGTCTGAACTTGCTGTGTGAACAGGTGAGCACTGAGTGTGGCTCGAGGTCCCTTGTCCCTCTGGGGACAGAACACTTCATAATTACATTACACAATTTTCCTTCCATCCATCCCAAGCAGTGCAGTCTCTTCTTCAGATCCATCCATCCATCCCTGTTCCCTCCTCTCTGAGATTCATTTTGACAGCCTCAGATGCTCCAGCACAGCCAAAAGTGGCTTTTGCAGTGGAAATCTCTGTGTTCCCTCTGCAGATCATCCGTGACACCTTCTCYGACTCCTGCCTTCGGATCTCCAGGGAGGAGAAGCGCAAGATGAAAGATCTGCTGAGTAATTAACAGCCCCACCATCCCTTCCTTCCCCCCTGAGTCCCCCCTGAAATGAGAAACTGGCCTCCAAGCCTTTCAGACAGGACTTGGGGCAGAGGAGAAATGTCTGTCACTGCAGCAGGAAAGCACATTTGTGGGGTGCAGTGTAGGGGTGTTTGTTCTTTCCAAATTACCCTGAAATTTCTCTRAGCCAGAAAAACTTAGTTATTGTGGGGAGAGGAAACTGAAGCCCAAGGATAGGGTTCTCATTTTCATTTGTTTTAAAATCCAACTGTCATCTTTGACATCAGCTTTATGGAGAAAAGGATAGAAACCAGAAGCTGACTGGTGTGTGAAATTGTCCTTTTCTCTCTGCAAACCATGYTCTGTGTTTTTGCTGTGCTGTGAGCACTGAGGCACTGCTGGGAGTGAGTCCCTGCGAGTATTTTTCTGATCAAGCTCTGTTTTGCCCCCCTGCCAGTGGAGTTCCGGGTGGGCAACAATGCCAAATCCATCCAGGAGGACGGGATAAAGAAGAGGATTGTGGTGGCCGCTCGGGATAACTGGGCCAACTATTTCTCCCGCCTTTTCCCAGTCCAGGTGAGGCTTTTGTCTCTCTCCAGCCCCTGGGTTGCTCCAGCTGTGGCTCCAGTTCTCCATTTTTGTCCCCTGCCTGGCCACACCGCAGTGATTCTGCACTCCCACACCTCACAGGGTGTTTTTGTGGGGTGGGATGGGTTCTCCGTGCTGCCCTTCCCTTACAGGGGGAGAAGGGGAGCGATGTGCAGATCCTGGGTGTTTCTCACCGGGGCATGCGGCTGCTGAAGGTGGAGAAAGCRGCCGGGTACCACCCTGAGCACCTCAAGGTCCTGCGCAGCTACGGGTGAGGAGGAGGGCTCTGGGGAGTGGGGACGGTGTGTCCGGCATGTGTCCAGCTGTGTGTGTGGTGTGTCCAGCTGTGTGTCCAGAGTGTCCAACCATTTGTCTGACGTGCCCAGCCATGTGTCCAGTGTGTGTGGCCATGTGTCCAGTGTGTCCGGTGTGTCCAGTGTGTGTCCAGTGTGTGTCCAGCTGTGTGTCTGGTGTGTCCAGCCATGTGTCCGGTTGTGTGTCCAGTGTGTCTGGTATGTCCGATGCGTCCAGTCATGTGTCCATTGTGTCCGGCCGTGTGTCCAGCTGTGTGTGTGGTGTGTCCAGCTGTGTGTCTGGCCATGTGTCTGGTGTGTCTAGTGTGTCCAGCTGTGTGTCCAGCGTGTCTAGCCATTTGTCTGATGTGCCCAGCCATGTGTCCAGTGTGTGTGGCCGTGTGTCCAGTGTGTCCGGTGTGTTTGGTGTGTCCAGTGTGTGTTCGGTGTGTCCAGCTGTGTCCAGCCGTGTGTCCGGCCATGTGTCCAGTGTGTCCAATGTGTCTGGCCATGTGTCCAGAGTGTCCAGCCATGTGTCCAATGCATCCAGTGTGTCCAGCCATGTGTCCAGTGTGTCTGGCTGTGTTTCTGGTGCGTCCGGTGCCTGGCAGGGTGCGGGAGCCAAACCGAACGGGGCAGCTGAAAGCCCCGAGCTGTGCTGCGCTCTCTGGGGCTGTCCCAGGCCAGCTGTGACTCTCTGACCCTCTATCGAGCCTGGCTTTTCCTGTTCCTCCCTCCCTCRTGCTCTGCTCACATCGGGCAGTGCTGGGGTGAGTCAGCCCCGTGTGCCACCCCAGGGAGCTCCTCGGGGTGAGAGCCACGAGCTGCTGGGGAAAGGCCACCATGGAGCACACTGAGCTTGTGTCCATCCCCCATCCTTGGAATGGGCTCCATCCCCACGTTCTGCACCCCAAGCTCTGGCAGGAGTCTGAGCACTCTGCCTTGTGTTCCCAGCTTTGCAGAGGTGCTGTTGGTGGAGCTGAAGGGCAGCAGCTCCCTGGAGTTCTCCCTGAAGACAGAGCAGCTCATCCTGCACTCTCCAAAGGCTCCGTGCATCAAGGCCATGGTGGAGCTGTTCATGGAGGAGCTGAGGCAGGTGAGGCACAGCTGGGGCACAGTGGGGAAGGAGGGAGGTTTCCTGATGGACCTGAGAGTGTCCATGGGGTGATCTGAGCCCTTCACATCCTTGGGTTGAGATCTGACCCAAGAATGTCCATGGGATGATCCAAACCCTTCACATCCTTGGGATGATCCAAACCCTTCAAATCCCTGGGGTGTGATTGGACCCAAGAGTGTCCATGGGATGGTCCAAACCCTTCACATCCTTGGGATGATCCAAACCCTTCACATCCTTGGGTTGAGATCTGACCAAAGAATGTCCATAGGATGATCCAAATCCTTCAAATCCTTGGGGTGTGACTGGACCCAAGAGTGTCCATGGGGTGATCCAAACCCTTCACATCCTTGGGGTGGGATCTGACCTGGCCACACCTCTCCCCAGGACACCAACTACGTGGTGGCTCTGCGCAGTTACGTCGTGGATGACAAGAGCCTGCTCAGCTTCCACAGGGGCGACCTCATCGAGCTGCTGCCCATGCAGGGCGTGGAGCCAGGTGAGGGGCTTTTCTGGGGCCAGCAGGGCCAGGACCAAGGTCCTGCTGGATCCCTGGGGCCTGAACAGAGGAACACAGGGTGGGCTGGCACCGTCACCCTCYAGCTCTGCCCTCCTCCCTGGTTCCAGCTGCCCTGGTTATAGGATATGGATGTTAAATGGATCTGTTACCTCGGGTTGCAGGAGAACCTGGGCTGCTCTGCTTTGCCAGTGGAGAGCTCCAGTGCTTGTTTCTCCAGGCAGCTGCCCTGGTTCCTGACCCTTTCTCCGTGCTTTCTCCAGGCTGGCAGTTCGGCTCCACGGGCGGCCGCTGYGGTCTGTTCCCCACCAGCCTGGTGCAGCTGGCTCCAGCCCCYGACTACCTCAGCACCAGCATGGACCGGCGGGCAGAACAAAGGAAGAGCATGAAATCCTCCCCAGAGAGCAGGAACACCAGCAGGGAGGTGAGCTGGCCTGGGGAGGAGCACCCAGGGGACGTGGCTGGGGGGGCACAGGGAGGGTGGGCAGTGCTCAGTCCTTGCAGATAAAACACTCAAACCCATCACAGTGTGGGAGGGGAGGCACCTCGAACAGGGGAGGGCTGGCAGCTGGGAACACACATTGCAGCTCCTCAGCTGGTGTTTTAGGGTGGGTTTGGTGCTGTCCCTGCAGAGTTCTGTGCCCAGCCGGACGTCAGAAGCCAACAGCACCATGCTGGTCCCTGCTGGTGACCATTACACCATGGCTGACTTTGCCAGAAGCTATTTCCGAGAGGCTCAGTCTATGTGAGTGCTCTGTGCTCATCCCCAAATGGACCTGGGCAGTGTGGCCCACACCAGGGCACTGCTGTGGGTGTTTCTGGGGTGCATGTTCCCTCTCCTCTGTCTAGGCAGGGCATGAAGAGGGTGTCTGCTGACAAGAAGAAGGTGGCTGAGCTGGTGCGGCACACCAAGGTGAGCTCAGCCTCTGCCCCTGGCCACAGCTCCTTGGACAAGTGTGGGTGTCCCCTAATTWGTGTCCCTCGGGTCCCTGCTGAAGCCCAGCTCTCTGTGAGCTCCTCATCCCAGTTTATCCCGATGTTCTGGCCCCGCAGGTCCCGATCCAGGAGTCTCTGCTGCGCTACTCGGACAGCGAGCTCAGCGAGCTGGCCACCAAGAACTTCCAGAGTGAGCACCTCCCTGGGACCCAGCCCTGCAGGGGGGATGGGGTGGCCCTGGTGGGCAAACAGACACTGTGGGGCTCAGTGGGGAAGGGAAACTGGGTGAGGAGAGCCCCTCCTAAGGTGTTTCTGCATTAATAACCACCCGTGTKAATGCCTTATCTGGGCTTACCTAAAACAGAGGCTGGACAAAATTGAGAGAATAAAAGCACTTTGTTTATTGCAGGGCCTTCAGGGCCATCCAGGGCAGTCCCAGCCTAGCCAGGGGCTGCACCCACAGTGGACAATGGCTCACGGGTTTTTCACCCTTTCTCACTTTTGTCCATTTGCACATCGGGGCTGAATCCTCCAATTGCAGCTGCAGCCAATGCAGTCAAAAACTCCAACTTGGCTCCCCCAATTCTCTGCTGTTTCCATCTCTTGGGGCCTGGCACAGGGAGGTGTCCTTGGGTTTGGGGCTGCAGAGGAATTGTTTTGTGTGAAAATGGGAGAGCAGGAGCTCAGCACTGTCTGTGGAGTCTGGAGTTAAACACTGAAGAATTCCAGGGTTACAGAGACATGGAAATAGAGAAACTGAAATCCTGAGGCATCAGTGTCTTTGCTGAGAGCTCCAGCAAAAGGGACTTTGCCTTGAGTGCAAAGAGCCCAGAACAGCCTGCCTGGGCTGTGGCTGGCTCCACRTGTCCAGTGACAGCAGAGGAGTTTCCAGAGCTTTTCCCAGCCCCACGGCAGCACCACCCCAGCTCAGGATAAAGGCCAGGCTTTGCCTTGCAGCGCTGATGAGGTTCATGGGGGATCAGCCAAAGCACAAGCACCACGGGAAAAGTGAGGCCGAGTGCGTCTATGAAATCCTTCAGGTGTGTGAACTGCCCCKGGGAGAAGGGCTGGAGCACCAGGGGAGTGGAGGGCCTTGCTGGGAAGGGAAGGAGCAGGGAGAGCCAAAATGCCACCTCCTGCATGGGGRTGGGAGCTGGAACAGATGGATTAAAAACCAAAGTGGGGAGGGATTGCATGGAAATGGTTTTCCTGGGTATTGCTGTCTGGCTGAGAGCACAGCCTGCCCCTCCTCTCTCCTTCTTGGAGCCTAAATAGCCCTACAGAACCCAGGCAAATCCCAAATTTTAAGGCAAACTGGCAGAGCCCTGAAGTTGGGAGAGGAAGGGCACAGAGATGACCTGGAGGGCTCTCTG